TTCGTTGTGAAAGCGAAACTACTTTGTTTGGTCTTCCAAAAGAGGACGATATCCGCTTCGTCATGCCTGGAGCTGATCTGTGCTGGTCGCTGAGGGAATACTTCAACTTAGTGCTGTGGATCTTTAACACTGCTTCAGTGTTACTTTAACACTCTTTTAGAGTGGGACCATATATGCTCCGAGCAGTGTTCATTTAACACTCGGGAATTTACTGTGTATGTAATATATATAATGTATTACATTATGCATGATAAAATATAAAGATTTCACAGTGATTTGATTCTGTAAAGTTTTTTTTGGTTACTACAACATTACTGTAGTAAAACCGTGTTTTACTACGTTTATACATTTGAAGACGAGCGGAGAGTATAGAATACTAGATAAAAAAATTAGCTAGCTAGAATACATGCATATTAACAGCGTAAACATGAATTAGCCATGCGACCATATAATATGATTAAATGTTAATAAATTAAGTGTATCAGCAATCATAAATTTCTTAGAAATATATTTTACCTAGGTGACGAGGATCGCTCAGTCGCTTTGTGTCAAACTCAAATGCAGTTACGGGGTTTTTGACCAGCGAATGTGTGCAAATGTGCATCTTGTCCGTCATTAAAACGGCGGCGTTACGTTTTCATCACCAGGTGTTTGTTGTAGCTATATGGGCGCCACGCTCAGTTTCAAATAGGCCTACATAAATTATGAGCCTTTATAGACATAGTGTTTCTTGCGTAAAGAAAACGCTGTACTTATTCAAACAACAAGATCTTTATTTACCCTTGCAGACCTAGTTCAGCTGCTGTGGAACTTCAGTTCATTCAGTCAAGATAGAGGGGGTGGAGTTATGAGGTTTACTGACAGTTTGAGCGGATCCAACAAGATTTAGTCACAAGCTCTTTTTAATACCTTTCATTAGCTAAATATTTGTAAAGCAGACAGACAGATGTAAAGGGTGACCAATATCATTGATTTATTGAAGGAAAAAAAAAAACACCATCTCCAAAAAAAAAGGGCACTTCGGAGTGTAAGGGCAAAAAGGGCATGTGCTCTGCACAGGTTGAGCCCTACCTGTGCACGTGCCTGGTATAGCACACCCCTATAATGACTGATTTGGAGACAAGATTTAAGATTTCTATGTGCATATGAAGAAACAGAAATAACTTTGAGAGAGAGACAATTACTTATTTATTCATGTCCTCTTCACTCCTTTTTTGTTCCTTTTTTTCTTGTGCTCATCTATCTGTTTTCCCTTCACACTCACAGGTATTGAAAGGTTCTAAGAAGCTCTCCATGTCGGTCTGTTCTATGGGACGGATCCCAGGTGGTTACGTAACCAATCACGTGTATACATGGGTGGACCCTCAGGGCCGCAGTGTGTCCCCGCCACCAGACTTGGTGGGGCAGCATGGCTCAGGAGGAAGACACTTGGACATCCAGCAACATGGCCACACGCACATTCGGCACGAGGGTGCTGAGAAGAAGGTGAGTTTAAACGAGCGTTCATGATGACAGATTGATTGGAAATTAAGCAATTTAAAATTCAGAGTGATGTTGTAAAGTGACTTTTCCCTCTACGTGTTATGTCACTCAGTTTATTCATATTGAAAATGACAGCTCTAACGAGTGTAGAAATGATCGTAATGCCTCAGTGATTCCTCTCTGCTAACTGCAAACCAGCTCTGCAGGGTTTTTTCCTCTGTAGGTGCATTAACACACATACACAAACACATTCATCAACTTTCCACACTATGCCCTCTCACACCTTCATCCCATATTCTGCCTCTTCAGCTAAAAACACCCAAAGGACAGCAATCATTAATCACAACACTGTCGACAAGGTCTGAAAGGTCCAAAATAGTTGCCACTAAATGTACTAAATACAACATCTGTCAAATTTTATCTCAGTTCACAATGTATCATCTGAGGTTTTTTGGCCATGTGGTATCACATATGTGCAATACTCCCTGCATTGAGCCAGCTAAGTGAAAATAGGAGGAGAAAAATCACAACTGATCAGATTTTTATTATATTAAAAACAGCTAAATAATCATATTGTTAAAGAGACATACTGTATATGTATGGGACGTATTTGTATATATTTTATGTATGTTTAATAATAATATAAAATTGTAATATTTGTGACTAATAATGCAAAATAAGTTTCTCAATTCACTCACAACTGGCAGAGGTGGCAAAAGTTAACCTTAACTGCATATAAAATCACCTGCAAAACCTATAAAGCCATAAACTCAAATACAGAGATTTTCACTCATAATAACTGTCTAAACTTCAGACAGTGGTTAATTCTAGGGGTGTCCCCGACTAAGGATTTTCATAGTCGAATCGGAATTTTCGAATCTTGCCGATATTCGACTGGTAGTCGAATCATATGTTTTGGGGGCGGGGCAAAATACATTACCAAGAGTCCATTACCAATCTTTCACTCTGCCTGTGTCAATTTGAGTCTTGTTAAAGTTTTAAATCCCTGCCGCCAAGATGCTCCTCTGTCGGTCACGGATTATGGAAAGTGAAACTTAAATGGGGTTTTTAAGATTTAAGTGACGTGACATGTGGCCAAGTATGGTGACCCATACTCGGAATTAGTGCTCTGCATTTATCCCATCCAAAGTGCACACACACAGCAGTGAACACACACACACCGTGAACACACACCCGGAGCAGTGGGGAGCCTTTTTTTTTTTGCTGCGGCGCCCGGGGATCAGTTGGGGGTTCGGTGCCTTGCTCAAGGGCACCTGAGTCGTGGTATTGAAGGTGGGAGAGAGCGCTGTACATTCACTCCCCTCACCTACAATCCCTGCCGGTACGAGACTCGAACCCGCAACCTTTGGGTTACGAGTCCGACTCTCTAACCATTAGGCCACGACTTCCCCCAAAATTTATTCACATATGTTAAAATATTTAATTGAAGCTTCTTTCTTTTCAGATTCTTATTTACAGCATTATTTTTAATAGGCTGTATATTAACTTATTGGGAGAAAACCAGTAATTCTATTTGAAATCAGACATTTAAGCACCCCCATATAGCCAAAATGGCACGATCATAACACCCCGCGAATATTCGACTATGAGATTGGTGTCGAATCAGGCTCCTCCTATCGAAGCATCGAATCTTCGACTATTCAGGGTCACTCCTAGTTAATTCAACAACAAAAACGGTTTGTTTCTTGAAATTTGATTATGGATGACTCAAGGTAGCCCGAATTACAAGCACTGACAGTGATCTATATGTTTTGGATGGAGGCAGTGGAGCATGTTAGCTGCAGAGATTCTTTAGCGGGGGTCTGTGCTTTTTTGGCTTGGATCTGGGGCTGCTAAAAAGAGTATTTCAGGCACGCTTTGGGCCTAGCTCACCTGAAATGCTCTCTATGTCAATGTGATTGATATGACCCATTTGAGCTATCATCTGAGATGAACTACCCAAATCCATATTACACATTTATCACACTACGTGTAATGCATGAGGAATGAATAAGGGTGTTTGTTTACTAAAATATGTCTATACATGTACGTGTATGTTTAATAATATAGGTATTTTAGTGCTGTCTGCAGAGCTGACCTTTAATGCCATGAGACAGCTATGAATTCTGACTAGAATTACATGTATCACATCAGTTTAGCCAATCAGATAAAACTTTAAAGGCTTGTGAAATGTACATGACTCTGTAAGAGGTCAGAAAGTGGCTGCTTCATTACGCTACAGATAGACGCAGAATCTACCCTCATAGTTAGTCTGAATAATGCTGAGGAGAATCATATCTGGATTCAGGCAATCTGTTCATTGTTTTAGTGCAAAACAATGCAAGACAAATGAGAACTGATGAAACATAATCACATCAAAGATCAAACCCCCAGTCAAGCCCATAGAGAGGTGATAAACACAGCTTTATTTTATTTGTTGGTAATTGTTCATCAGGGTTTAGATGCTGCAGTGGTGCCGCATTTATTGGTATTTTATTCAGGTTGAACACACTAGAATCCTGATGGGTGGGTGAGTCAATTTATAGTCACCTCCTCTTCATTGCCTCAGCATTTTCCTTTAGTAATGGGGCGTCCATAACTGATGAGCGAAATGAAGTGTGCAACCACAGTCTCAACTAGGGGGGTAAATATCCCACCCACTTATCAATAATCGACTGTGTCGTAAAGTTCTGTTTACCTGCAGCTTTGAAAGTGTGCCTGTAAAATGTGCAGCAGTGTGGCTATAAGCACCATTCACAGTTCTCAGTTTCAAAATACCAGTAAATTCTGTGACATCATCATTAACCAGAAATGGCCTCTTAACGGCTGCGCCTCCCGGTGTTTTTGTAAACATGGAGGAGTGTGCAGTCAATGTTTCTGTTGATGTTTTCATTTTTGTGTCAAACGTTAACATTTATGCAGCTGTTTTTTGCCCAGAGATATCGTGTTAGATGACTTTAGATATTTCTTTGACATCTGTAAACAGCGCAGAGTAAATGCGTCAGAATGTTATGACTGGCCCAGAGTAGACGTCTTATGTCAGCGCGTTCAGAACTCCTGTGCAGCGCTGCCGACGACTTCCATAACCCGAATGAAGCACGTTGAAGCTCTCGCTCTGGTGCCCATACAAGGAATTCCGCCCTTCATGATGCCATTATCGGAACCCGAAAGGAGTGTATTTGGCACAAAAATACGCTTTTTTGAAACTTTGGCCATGTTTAGCATGAGAATCAACTCTTTAACAGTGTTAATAATTTAGAATGCATGAAATAGCATTAG